GGGGGTCCTCCTGAGCACCGGGGACAAAGTCCCAGTTTTGGACACCCCCCCCCCCCAGGTCTGATCGTCCCAAGATGCCCTGGGGTTTGCTCTCTGGCGGGGACTGTCTTCCTGCCGGGCAGCGAGTGCCCGTGAGGCGAGGGATCCAGGTCAGTCCACAGGTTGCTGCTCCACTGTCCGAGGCGACTTCACCAGACAACCCCAGGACGGGGGCGGGGTGGTGGGGGCCGGGCAGGGTGACCACCTCTGCCTAGGACTGTCCCAGGCCGGGGGCCAGTGAGGAGAGCCTGTTGCAAGACCCACCAATGAGAGAGCAGTTTGGGGGAGGGAAAGGGGAGGGAGGGAAATGGGGGGAAGCCCGCGTGCATGCACACACACAGCACTCACACACACACAGTCACACCACCAACAGTTACACACACATGCACGCACACATAGGGTCAGACACACAAGCTCACATACACAGGCTCACACACACAGGCTCACACACACACTGGTACACACACACACACACACACAGGCTCTCCCCGCCCCCAGCTCTCACCTCTGAGCAGCCCGGTGGCTCCCACTGCTGCCCCGGCCCCGCCCCCACCACGTGACCCTGTTCCCGGGGAGGTGGGCACACCCCGCCTTTGGCACCTGGTCTGCCCCCTCCCCCAGCCCCGCCCCCGACGAGTCACAGCGTCCTGTTCGTTCAGCCACTTCACGAAGCCGGGTCCCCGCAGGCTTTCCCTGGGCAGCAGGATGTGGCGTGGGGGCGGTCCGGGCGAGAAACGCAGGGTCCTGCCGGCCCAGCCCCACGGGAGGGCGGGGATGAGAGGAGACAGCCCTGCGAACCCCTGCATTTCCCTGTCCCCACTGGCCCTCTAGGTGTCCACGCCGGAAGCCACAGTGCTGGGTGCCTCCCCCCACCCCAGGGCCACAGCTGCCAGGGGGCAGATCTGACTGGGCGCCTGCACCCAGGAGAGCAGGAGCCCGGCGCGCCTCCCGCTGGTGCCGCCGAAGGAGCTCGGGGTGGCAGCCGGGGCGACGTTGTCCGCACAGGTCCGGGGACTGGGCCTTGTCCCCAGGCTCCCACGAGGTCTGAGGGGGGGCTGCGAGATGGCACCCTCTGTGCTGGCTTCTCGGGGTGTCTGTGAGCATTTTTTAAGGCAAAGGGAAAGGTAGGATGTGTGCACTGCCAGAAACATCTGAAACTAGGTGAGTTTGAGCCTCTTCCCACAGGAGCTTGGGTCCGGTGACTCCCAGAGGCCCACCTGGGTAACCGCGTCCACCACGTCCCCTCACCAGACGGCCACCCGCCGTCTTGGGGTCCCCCCCCCCAGTGAGGCCGGGGTCCTCTCAGTCATGCTGCTGGGCCCAGGCTCCCGCCTGCACTACTGCAGGCCCCAGGGGGAGGCCGCCCACACCCGGCCCTGCACCCAGGGAGGGCGCCATGGCGGACTGTGCTTTGGGGGCACATACGCACGGTTGCGGGGGCAGGGAGGGGTCTGCAGGTAGGAAGGACGAGGGAGACGAGAGAGCATGGGTCAAGGGCTCCGGATGCGCCTGCGCCGTCGGCAGCCACCCGGAGCCTCAGGGGGTGCGCACAACCCTGTGTGTGTATGTGTGTCCACATTCCTGTGCGTGAGCCCACGCCGAACACGCGTGCACGTGGTGCGGATGGCAGCCGGCTGGCTCCAGGCTCCCACCGCCATCGCGGAAGGAGCGAAACCCCGTTCGTGGCAGACAACGCTTGCCAGCTGAACAAAATCTCCAGTTCCCTCTTTTCCTGGAGCGGCTGAGAGGAGGTGGTTCCCGACTTGGGCTTTGCCGGTTTCCAGAGTTCGAGGGGCCACGGGGACCCTCGGGACCTGCCCGACGGCCGTTCTGACAGCCAGAGAGCGCTGACCCCCAGGGCACACCCCGCCCCCTTCTGCCCAGGCCCCGCCCCTTCTGCCCAGGCCCCGCCCCCTTCTGCCCAGGCCCCGCCCCCTTCTGCCCAGGCTCCGCGAGACGCAGCACGGGGCGACGCGGTCCTTCCGCCTAACCCGCAGCTCGGCGACGCTGGGAGCCCTTCCGGCACGTGTTTCCCGTTACAGGCTGCGCTGGAAGAAGCCAAGGTTCTGAATATGTTTGCAAGCTAACTGAATGATTACTTTCTCCAAGAAAGCGTTTGCTCCCCACAAGGCAGGAAGAGAGGCGGGGGGAGGGGTGCAGGGGAGGACCGAGGCCATGACGATGCCGGTGGCCCTGACAGCTGCTGCTCTCACCGCTGCGGGCTCTGGTCCCCCTCACACACGGGGGGCGAGGGGTCGCTGAGGGGAAGGGCTGGGGGGGGAGTAGGGGGGCCTGCTGGGACCTGGGCGGGCCACACGAAGGTGGGTCTTAGCCAAGCGCTCTGAATGGTGGGGCCTGGAGACAGGGAGAGGGGCGCACGGCTCCCCCGAACCCCACTCAGCACACCAGCGCTCCCCCCAGGACCAAGACGCCCTCAGCCCCCGACACTCTGACTGACACATCCTCGCTCCCAGCCGGCCCTTCTCCCCTGCGCAGCCGGCCGGGTGGGGGGCTGCCCGGGCTCAGACGAGGGTGTACAGACTGAGCCCCTGTGGCGGGCAGACGACCCCGGAGGAGGGAGCGCGTGGCTGCCCTCCGCGGCCGGGTGACAGATGACAGAGCACCCAAGAGGGCCTTAGGGTCCCAGCCCCTGCCCGTGGGCCCCTCTTGGCGGCAGAGAGGGTTCCCCCAAAGTGATCTTTCTGCTCAAAGGGTTGAAGCAAAAGGAACGCGCCCTTTGGGCAAGAGACTGGACCCCGGAAGGTGGCCGGGGGGTTTCCAACACGCTGTCTCAGGCCCGGGGCCCTGGGGCGCCCCTGCCGTGCGCAGGGAGGGCGGGGGTGGGGCCGGGTGGCCCGAGTTTGGGTTTCCAGTCGCCCCTGAGGGTGCAGGGCAGCTCGGCTCTCCTCGGGGCTGGGTCCCAGCCCCGGGGCCCTCGGTGAGGAGCTGGGCACAGCACCCCCGGACACTCAGAGCAGGGCCGGTTTGAAGCTGAACCCCTCGAGGCCTTGTGACAGACACGCAGGGTGTCCAGAGGAGGTCGCCGACCTCAGTGTGAGGCGACCCCCACTCCCCTCCCACAGCCTTGAGCTCTGGACCGAGTCGCATTAAAGCGTGTGGGCAGGTCCCTGCTGGGCCACGGGGACCGGGGGTGGGGCAGACGGGGTGGGCCAGCGTCCCCCGTGAAGGCCAGGGTGACGGCAGCAGCACCACGGCCACCTTCCAAGCGAGGACAGCTGGCTGGCGGAGCGCCGGCTCGGTGGGGAAGGCCGGGCCGGCGTGCTGACGGCGCACGGGGACCTGGGTCACCTCGGCCACACCGCCTGCCCGGGCAAGAGGGCGGTCAGCACGGCCCCGGGAGCAAAAGTGTCTTCTTTTCAAAACGCAGCTGGTCGGCCGCCGCTCACCACCTGGCAAGTGCCCTTTGGGCTCCCCAGGCACGGGGCGATGAATGCTCTCGTTCCCAAAGCCTCCCGCCGCCTCCACGGCACTTCCCGACAGAAACGACGAGAACCCCTCCTGGGGCCGAGGGGCGCAGGCGCTGACGTGCACTGCGCCAGCGCACTCCCGCACGCAGAGTCTCGGGGCCGGTTTCCCTCTGAGACGACCCGCCGAGTCGGTCGCTGTCACCTACGGCCCTCCCTCCGGCCTTTGGAGAGGCCGATGTCGCTGCGGAGGCTGGAGGCTGGTCCGCGGGTGGCCTGGGAGTGACGTGCGACTGCAGGAGCAGGGTCACAGGAGCGACCCCGCCCCCCGCACCGGGCGGGGCCGGGCGGGTGCTGCGTGGCCACACCCCCCGCAGATGTCTGGCTGAGAGCCCTGCTTCCCACAATTCACCGCGGGGGAGGCCACGCCCAGCGCTCACCCTGCGCTCACGCTCCCCTCGGAGCCCTCTGTGGCCGTGGGGGAGGGGCCGTGGCGGGGAGGGACCCGGGGCCTGGCCACCGGGCCGGCACAGGGCACGTGAATGGCAGGCCTGGCGTCGGAACGCACGCTCGGCCGAGATCACGCGGGAAGATGTCGGAAGCTGAAGCCGGCCGCCGATCTTCTGGAATGGACCCCCAGTGAGGTGCCTCTGGCAAAGCCGAAGGAAGGGCCGGGGCACACTCCCGCATCCCCGCCCACACTCTGTGCCCTGGGCGGGCGTCCTGCGTGGCGCCGGCCAGCAGGCTCGCGGCTGCCAGGTGGGGTCGGGATTTCCGGACCGTTCTCCCTCGACGGCACCCCCGCCAGCCTCACCAACCACCTCGTCCTTCTTTGGTCGGGTTGCGTAAGGGCCACGGGGTCCCTGCGGACGGGTGTCGGTGGCTGTGTGGACTGTCACGCGCAGGGCACTCGGCCGGCTGTCCTGAGATGCTCTCCGCAGGGGCGGGGCGCCAGCAGCAGATCACGAGGAGGCTATGAGGTCAGCCCTGGCTTCTGCCTACCCGGGTGACTCACAGCCGGAGCAGGGCCCGGCCCCTCCCCTCGGCAGAACCAAGCCCCTCCTCCCAGCCCACCCGGGAGCCGGCCCTGGTGCACGCGCAGGAAGCAGGCGCCCTGCTGGGGCGGGGTGGGGCACACACGGCGTGAACACCCAGGCCCCTCGCTCCTCCTCGAAGAGAAGGCCGAAGAAGTCCCGGCCCCCACGGTCTCAGCTGACGTGCTCTTCAAGGGACTCACGGACGTGGGATGGCCCCCGGGACGGGGCCTCGGTCTGGGGGCGGGGATGGTGCCCCCCGGCACCTGTGCCTGGACCTGCACAACTCGAGGGCAGGCCTGTTCTCAGAGCCCTCGCGGGAAGCAGGCCTCCCCTGGACAGACGGCTTTGCTGAGTGGGGACATAGGTCACGGCCGCGCAGGCGGCTTCTGTTTGGCCGAGAAACTCCTGATCTGAGAGAGACGAGGACGAACCAGAGTGTCGACAGGCCACCAGGACAGGGACATTTCTGGAAAATGCCTCAGATGAAACAGCCGCAGAATTCAATTAAATATTTATTGAACAAATGCAAAACAGATGGACTCAGCGGTGTCTCAACCTGAAGGTGCAACGAACAACTTCGAACGCGCAGAGGGCGGTCACCCAGAGACGGGGGACCTGCCCGGCACCGCCCCGAAGCGGGACTTGAACCGGGGGTGGGCGGGACAGCGGACAGCGCACGTCACCCCACAGCGTCTCCCCAGCACCAGGCCTCGCCCCACTCCCGAGAGGAGACGCTGCAACCAGCTCTTCCCATGCACGCCTTACAGGGTCCCGTGCTCACAAGCCCGGTGCTGCCAGCAACGGGGGCACGCTCGGGCTCACGCTCACACTCACAGCGAAGGGTCTCCGGCCAACAAGCCCGCTCCCCGGGGAACAGCTTCTGTTCCTCACCTGGGCGTCAGCACCCTGACCCCCGGGGGGCAAGGGGAGAGGGCACATTCTGCAAAGGGGGTGCGGCAGGATTGCCCCACCTCGCGCACTGCCCCGGGGACAGTCCTCTTCGAACCCCAGGTGGGCCCCGCAGCTGCGAGCCCGCGGCGGGGTGGCGGCCCGAGCGGGCACTGCACGTCGCCGGAGTCCCCGGGACAAACGGGCTGCCCCGTCATCCCGACGGCTCCACCCGCGCTGCCGCCGGACGTCCCCGCGGGAGAGCTGCTGCGGCAACTATCCAGCACAATGTTCAAGGACGAAACGTGTCTAGTGCGCTTTCTACTACGTGTGTATTTCGTCACATGCTCAGCACAGAGTGCGCAGGCGCTCGCTCCGGCCGACGCCCTGCACGCACACAGTCCACCTCGCCGGGTGCCGGGTGCCGGTCCGGGGCGCGGCGGGCGGCCGGAGCCGAGGGGCGTCAGTTCTCCAGGAAAGCCACGTAGTCGGTGAGCCGGGCCAGCTGCTGCTCATTGGGGATCGGCGGCACCGGGGCGGGCTCTGCGCGGGAGAGTCACAGGGTCAGTGGCCGGGGCAACAGGGCACCGGTCCCCCCACCCAGCATTTAACTTAGCGGCAAGGAAACGCCCCGATTTTGTGCACTCTGGAGGAACAGGCCGAGATGTCTCGGATTCTCACGAGCCGTCTCCCCAAACTGGGGGTGCGGCTGCGTCTGGTCTGTCGTGACTGACGTGACGTCCCTCTGAAGGGCGCTCAGCTCCTCTCCCCGGGACAGCCCTGCCCGTGCGGCCTCGGACTCATTGGGTGAGCCCCCGAGCGCCCACCGGGTGACAGGCGCTGCTCTGTGCCCTAGGGGAACCTCACACCCTACGGACAAAAGCACCAAGAACCCCCCGGCCCGGGAGCTCCATCCCCACGTCCCCTCGGGCAGCTCCTGGTGGCCTGCGTGCGGCCGACAGGCAGGTCACGGTGCCCCCACTGGCCGGGGCCCAGGTGCGGGAGCTCGAGGGGGGCTGCGGAGGGGAGCCCACAGGCACTCTCGTGACCCAGGATCATCACAGACACCAAGGAAGGGGTCCGACCTCCTCACAAGGTCGGCGCTAAGAAACGCAGACCCCGAGGGAATCAAGAGCAGAGCACACCTGAACGAGCACACGCGACGACGTACCTGATAAAGGGGTGAACCTGTTGAAGGACATGTCCAGCACCCCTGCAGCTGAAGAAGCAAAATTCAAGGTCAAGTCTGCAGGCGTCACCACGAAGAGTTTTCACCAACAGCGCGGTCAGTGCCTCACGCATGGACGGCCGCTCGTTTCCCAACAGAGAACGGCCGTGCCCCGTGTCGGCGGGGCCTGGGGCGGGGCCGGGCACCCGCGCTGAGCGCGTCAGGAGGGCCTCCGCACGCGGGCAGGAAGCCCCCTCCGTGGCCCCGGCAGCGGAGGGCCCCACCCCGGCCAGCAGGCGGAGAGCAGCCCGCGGCAGCCGCTCAGCCCGGCCCCGGGCGCAGAGCCCGCAGAGGGAGGGAGGCCGGGCTGGGCTCTGCGGGTCCCAGCCACGGAGCACCCTGTTCGGAGGTGCCTGAGTGCGGGAGGTGCTGCAGGGGAAGGGTGAGCTCGCAGCCACCCACGGGCGCAGAGGGCGGGCTCAGCTCCAAACGGCTCCGTGAACGGAGGGGCGGGGCGTTAGCGTCTGGTGAAAACTGACTTCTTGCAGCAGGGATTACTGAGCACCTGCATAATGTGGTTTCTTTAACATAAAAATGAAGTTTTGGCCACGAAGGCGAGGCTGGGTCACCTTTAAGGGCCCGCTACCCTGAGGGCCTGCCAGTCGGAGCTCACGCGGTGGTCACCCCCCTTTCGTGACGAGAGCAGGCTCTGCACCGAGTCACTCCAGCTGCATGGCTGAGATGCCGGAGCGGCCACACAGGTGTCTGGGCCACGGGGGCAGGGGAGCAGCTCCACCTACCTGGCTTTTTGGGCATCACCATCCTCGTGGCAGAGTCGGCCAGCCACCCCTGCTCCAGCACACCTGCGGACGGGCCGTGGACGGGGAGTGAAGGAGCGGGCAGGGCCCCCGTTCGCCCACCACCACGGGCAGTGCCTGCCCAGGAGCCCTGCCCGCGTGGACTGACCCACCACATGGGGCTCTCCCAGCACGACAGGCTATGGACAGCGCTCCCACGTGAACACCGCTCTGGAACACGCCTGACCACGTCCAAGCCCCGTGTCCCTCCCCGAGACCGGGGGAAGCCCCGGCAGAGGGACGAGTGCGGGGACGGCAGCCGCAGCTCGCTGGCCAGAGGCCGACCGGGGGCCGCACTAGGGGTGCTTCCACGGGCCTCTGACGTGGGGCTACAGCCACCACTTAGCGGACGCCGGAGGGAGACTTCAGGGAAGCCCAGTGGCACGTCGCAGGCCACACGGCCAGCCCGGGGCGGCCCCACGACGCCCCTGCAGGGGCTCCGGGGGGCCGCACGCATCGGGCAACCAGGTCCGGGCCGGCCCGGGAGACGAGTCGGGCAAGCAGGCGTCGGGAGGAGTGAGTGCAGTGCGAGTCGCTCCCGGAGCGCCCCTAAACCTGCTCCCTGGGTGCTCGGAGCCGTGCGGGGCCCGGGAAACTCGCGACAGGACGCAGTGCTGGACAGCGCTCCATGTGGCCGGGGCACAGAAAGTCCAGTCACTGCAAAACGACGGCACCAGGCGCCACAGCGCTCGCCGCTCTCCAGCCTGCGCTCCGGCCCGGGGAGGCGGGACGGCAGCGGCGCATCTGCATCTGGGGACCTGCGGTTGGGCACTGGGGGGTGAGCTCCAGGGTCCAGGGACCAGCGAGGGGCGGCGAGGGGAGAGGGGGGCTAGGGAGGAATCCTGGGGTGAGGGCACCGCACCGGGCGGGAGGGGAGGGACGTCTCAGAGAGAGGAAGGGGGTCGCGGCTCTGCCGCACTGACGGGGCGGTGCCGGCTGCGTCCCGGGGACTAGCCGTGCCCCCCCACCCCCCCCCGCCTGGGCCCCTCGGGGGCTGTGCAGTAGGCTCCACGTCCCCTCCCCGGAGAACACGCATGACAGAGCCTCCGCTCCCCGCGCTACCTTTCACGGCCTCTTCCACGGGGAGCCCCACGAAGGCGGCGAAGTCGTCGGCGATGATCGAGGTGTAGGCCTGGGAGACCAGGGCGAAGGCGCGCCGCCGCGTGGCCTCTGCGGGGGAGGGGGGGGAGTGGGGGGGGAGTGGAGGGGGGGCAGTGAGCAGAGAGGCCCGTTGTCAGAACGCGCGGCCGAGCGACAGGGCTGGCCCCGCCTCAGTTCAGCACGCAGGACGGACCAGCCCTAGATGCCTGCTCCGCCCACAGGCTGCAGGGAGACGGACGCGTCTCTCCCGCTCCCCCCGGGCAGGACACCGCTCTCGGGGGACGGGGAAAACGACGGGGAACAAGTTCGCACACGCAGGACTGAAAGCCCAGGGACGCTTCGTTCACGCGAGGTCAGGCTGTCAGTCGTGGGGCAGGTCTTCCCCCGGCTCTCCGCCCCCCCGTGACGGCTCTCCACCCCCGGTGAGACGAGCACTGACGAGGGGGCGGAGCAGAACCACCTGCTGCGGCACCCGCCACCGCCCCCTCCTCGGGGGCTGCCCACGGGTGCCCTGGACCCAGCACTGCCCGGCTCCCCGGCCGGCCATGCGCCACTTCACTGGGGGGCAAACCCCGAGGCCCGCCCTGAGCAGCGGAACCGGACAGGAGGAGCCGACAGCCATGCCAGCAGCATCTTGACTCTGGATCGAACGCCCTCCCCACCCAAAAACACCCCAAGACAAGGCGCGTGGCAGCCACGGGCAAGGGGTGAACAGTGCCCGCCCCCCGGCCCGTTCCGCAGGGCTGCTGCCCCCGGCTGTGGACGTGCTGGGAGGTGCTCTGGGTTGTCCTTCCCGGGTAGTGGGCAGCTGGACACGTGCGGAAGAGCCCGTGACACACGGAGCGTCCTCTGCAACCCCAGGACAGTGCCCAACAAGGACACCGACCCCTCCGGCACCTCTCACTTCAAACGAGCCCCGGTTCTCAGGTGAGCCATGCCCCCCCCCCCCCCCGACCCTCCGCCCCAGGCTGCTGCGTGTCCAGTCACGCCCTGCCCTCTGCTCCCCGCTGGTCCCAGGCCCGTTCCCACGCTCCCTGCAGCGCCCACGCCCACCGCCACCTCTGCGGGAGGCGTCAGGAGAGCCGAGCCCGTGTCCTGCCCGCGAGCCTGCTAACGAACGCTGGGGAAGGCACCTGGCCTGTCCCCAGGCTGCTGCCACGAGACGGGACCAGGCCCACGAGAGCCCACGAGCGCAGACGGAGCGGCAGGGCTGCCTCCTGCCCCGCGGGCCCCAGAGCCCCGTGCTGCCCTGTCCATCCCACACTCCTCCGGCCCGCCGGCCTGCCCTCCCGCCTCTCCCTCTGGTCACCGCCTGCGCCTGCCGTCTGGCAACTCGCACTGCTCGGTCTGACCACCCGAGGGAGTCACCGCACGGAGAAAGCCACCTTCACCTCTGCTCCCTCACGGAGCTGCCGGCCCTCACCAGGCGCGAGCACCCAGTCAAAGGCTCCCGCGTGCCGCCCCCTCCGCACCAGCAGGAGGGCAGGCAGGAGGACGAGTGCTGACCACATACACAGGCAACAGCAGAAGAGGGGGTGATGGCCTGAAAGGAGCCACTCTCACGACAGCGCAAGCTGGGGGGACTGGAAGCGGGTGTGGGGGCGGGCGGGCGGACGGAGAGGCGGAAGCAGGCCGAGCCTTGCCCTGTCGCACCAGCACGTGACCTTTAGCCTCTACGTGTCGGACCGACTGGTCCCAGACCCAGCAGCTGGAGACAGCGCCTGCCAGAGGCTGAGAGGGAAAGTTCACAGCACACAGCCTCCACTCCCACAAACGGGTTAAGAGAAACCTGGACCCCTACCTCGAACTCATGAGTGTTACAAGATCCCACTCTACCGGCCAAACACCCTGACCAGAGCCGTTCCGACTCAGAGTTAACTGGGACGACAGTGGGGCCCGAGCTGTCAGTGTCACCGGCGGTGGCAGCAGCCGCAGGAAACGCAGCAGCAGGAGTCCGCAGGCCGCCCCGGGCACCTCGCAGGGAACGCCCGCCCACGCGGCTCTCAGCCCCAGAGCGACCCTACCTCTGAGCGCGTCCATGATCGGCTGGACCGTCTCGGACCACTGGTGGGCGCCGATGGTCGTGTAGACCCCGGGGAAGTCTCGCTGCCAGATCCTCTGTCCCACCGACCAGATCGCCCCAAGTTCAGAGTTTGCCTGCAATCAACATGGTTATTTCTTTTGAGGATCGCCACTGTGCAGGTTCATCAACAGCTGCATCTGAAAACAGAACCCGGCATTTCCTTTCCGAGGTGTAACGACGTTTCCGCTCAGCACTACCAAAAGGGTCTTTAGACACTGAACAGTAACCTCTATTCACGTTTGACATCAATATTTACTGTAGCAGCAAATTAAAGCCTGAGAATGCAGCACAAAAACAGTGCAGAACTGAGTCTGCAAGCTCTTACGCTCTGCTTTTAGAAGATGCACTTCTACTTCACGACCACGTGTAAGTAACACACAGACCCTGTATTACCGACACACACACACACACGAAAGTGCTTCTTCAGGACAAAACCAACAGCAACGTGGCTGACAACGCAGACGGCGACCTTGGCCGCCTCCCCGGGGCCCAGGCGCGCCAGCAGGGCTGGCACCATGCACAGGACCAGCACCCCGCGGAGCTGCAGGGGCGCTGCCAGAATGATGGGGGGGGGGCGCAGAGCAGAGCACCGCCAGCGGGACCTGCCGCCGCGGGTGCGCACTGACCAGGGGCGGCAGTGAACTCCTGGGGACGGTCTGTGGGCCCTTAACAACTTCACTCCGCGTCCGTGCCGCACACAGGGAACAGCTGAAAGCAAAAATTCCTTTCATCCCACCTTGGGAAAATCTCTTAGGGGGTTATTTCATCTCATCTCCGACCACAATAAGAAACCTAAAATCTTAATTAGCAAAAAAGCATCTCAATGCTGCGAGCAGCCACCAATGTTAGAGCACTCTTCTAAACGTCCCTGGGTTCCAGATGCGCCCGGGGCCGGCAGGCTGCAGAGGCCCGCCGAGAAACGACGACGCACGCCCAGCCTGCCCGGAAGCTGGCGCGCCGGTTTGGCCGGCTGAGCGGCACTTCCGTGACATGCCCGGAGAAGCCCGGCCGGCGGCGCCCCAGGGGAGCGCAGGTCTCTGCTCAGAGGGACACACGTGCAGCTCTGCTCTGACTGCAATACCAGTCTAACCACAACTCCCGTGATCGCACGGGAGAGAAAACGAACTGCACGAGGCGGCCATTTCGACGGCTGTCACTCTTGCATTAAAGCAGTGGCCAGGAAGGGTACTCACCGACTTTATAGCGGGCGGTATTCTTTTCCAAAGATATCTTGCGTTATTCCTAATTTGCATCCCCCAAGAAAAAACAAACAAAAAAGATCATCTCAGTAAATGTTTAAAACTCCAGATCCCAATACAAACCCGCAGAGGTACACTCTGAAACTTGTGAATTTGCCCAGGGAAAGTAAGAGTAGATATCCACATCAGAAAGACATGAAATAACGTATTTTTCGGACTATAAGATGCACCCCCTGTTTGGGAGGAATAATGGTTGTTAATGCTGCTGCTGAGTTCTGCTTACATTTACATTGGTGAAATATTGTTATTTACGTTATTAAATACTTTACCACATTTTTTGCTTCAAATTTTTTTTCTCTATTTTCCTCCTCCAAAAGGAAAGACCTAGGTGCGTCTTATAGTTCGAAAACATGGTAGTTTAACCATTTTGCCATTTGTAGATTTTTTTATTGATACAGATCTTAAATTAAGGCAATTGATAGCACATTAAAAACTAACATCTAAGCATAGCTGCCCCGACTACTTGTTCCTCTGTGAAAACAGACAAACACCACCCCCCCCACCCCCCCCCCACCGCGCACAGCCCCCCAGCGCTGTCCCGGGATCACGCCCCGCCCCCACCAGCGGCCTCGGAGCCACCACAGCCTGAACCACATCAGACAGGGGGCGGCGAGACTGTAACAAATGAGACAGATAGTTTACATGATATGTGTGTAATGAAAATCTTGGTTTAGGTTTTTAAACGATAAGAAAAAAATGTAGAAGAATTTAAAACAACATTCACAATCCTCATCGATGGGCCGCAGAACTATGCGACCCTCTCTCTCCTCTGCACAGTTGTGCTTTCTGACTTTTGAACACGAATTAGGAATAATTCACAAATAAAAAACTTTCAAAAAAAATCTCATACACACTGGTAGTCAATTCCCCTTAGCTCCTCAATCTTCCCTTTCCGTATCTCTTGGTCCACTGATGACTCGGGAGGGGAATGAGTGAAGGTCAGATGAACGTTTCAGAGAAAGCCAAAAGGGTCAACAGAATTAAAGGAATTTGGGGGGGGGGGAGTGGGAATAACAGGACTAAACAGTAATGAAAAGAATATAATAAAGATGATGTAAAGATAATTTAAAATAAAATAACTTATGGGGTTTCCTCCAGGTTACTAAAACAGTCTGAGTTGTGGCAACTTTTATGGTGTTTCAGTTTTATTTACAGAAGCAGCTGGAACCTGGAGCCAAAGCTGCGGATGAAGTGGGTGATTAAGCCAGGGGACAAGACCTTGATATAACCAAGGAAATTGTGACTGTTAGCACAGTGATCACATATTTCTTTTCATGTGGCTCATAAACCTACTCCAACGACATTTTCCAAAAAGGAGTTCTAAAAGGATCTTGGAGCTGTAGTGCAATTGTTGGCAAGTGTGTGTTTTCCTGGAACGACAGCTTTAATGGAACAATTTTATTTCAAGTTCACTTGTTTCTATGTTTGTTTTTTTGATCACATTCATTTAATAACATAATCCCATTGTGAAAACTAGTTAAATAGGAAAAAATGCCTGTAACCCCACCACCCTCACAAGTTGAATGTTCTATGTTGTTTTGTTACAACATAGTCCCTTCTCATAAGTACTACTATCTATTTATAAGATAGAATTTTATTTTGAGGAATGCGTTTCAGCCACCTGAAGCCCCACATAAAAAAACAGACAAACACAAAAACAGAAACAAACAAAATCCCACTTGTTTTAGGCTGCAAAGAGTATTCATGATTTGCTGCTCTTTTCGATGAATTAGCAAATGCAGAATCGTTCAAAGTAAAAAAAAAAAGAATGAAAGGAATTTGAAAGTAATACTGTAGTTTCTTATAACAAACTGGAGTGTTTTTTTAGAAGGTTTATGTAAGAAAAGACACGTGTATTTTAAAATACCTCAGCCTAAAAAAAAAAAAAAACCCTCAGCCTGATCATAATCTGTGGCTCATTATCTGACACTGAGGCAGTGAGTGTCACAATAAAAGGCACCGTGCCTGTGCCCGCACCGCAGTGACGGCGCTTCAGTGCGGAACCACCTCCGCATGACCTCGCAGAGGCTGCTGGCTCTCGGCCGCAGGGAGAACGTACTCACATGTCATTGTGGAGCAGGTACAGAGCCAGAAGCTGCCCATACACTGGGGGCGTGGCGATTCCTCCGGGAGCCTAGAGGGCCAACATGGAAGAGAAAAACGTCATTTCCTTATGCTAAAACCCAGAACATGAAGTTCAGATTTGTCATCAGCAGTGGTATCTCCCTCTGGGCCTCAGTGTCTTTACACATCAGAAATATTGAATGGGATCCTCTTCCCAGTTCTCACATTCTTATATAAATGGTCTTACTATGACAAGAAACAAGTATTTCCAGCAGATTCCTAAACCCTTATGGTTCTGCCCGGTATGTCAAACATGTTGAGTAATGATAAACAGAAAAAAACATCACAGTCGAGGTACAGGCATTTACAACCTCATTCAACGGTACTTCATTAAAAAAAAACAAAACCTCTATTAAGTGCCTGTTAGTAAGCTGCTGTTTAAAAACTCGTTTTTATATTTGCTTTTTAAGTGCCTTTCTAGGAAAAACCTCAATTCTAATAGCCGCATGATGTAATTTCCACTTCTCAATGAAGACGACTGGGGAAACTCGCGTGCGAACGCTATGTTCTCATGCGCTAATAAAAGGTTCCAATGGCTACTGCATCATCTTCTGTCTGTGTGTGTGCGCGCACGCGTCTTCAAAGAAATCCACACGCCCCGACCTCCCCCACGACCGCCGAGGGTGCTTAGTCTAACACGGTCGGCCCAGGGGGCGCTTAAGCAGCAAGACACACAGGACTCAGGCTCACTCACTGAAGACAGACAACAAAAACCTCCCAGCGAGCCGGGGGGTATCCTGCCAGATCCTCAGCCTCCGGCCCAGCCCGGGGCACCAGACTCCGGGCGCCCAGCCCCCGCGCCCCGCGGGCGCCCGCCCCCAGCCCCGCCCCGAGGCCCCAGGCCCCGTTACCCTGGAGACAGGCGCCGCCCGGGCCTGCGGAGACCCCGAGATTTTCCCCAGCTCTATGCGAACGGTTACCTCGAGCTCCTGGTTCTCGCACTGATCCAGCAACTTTTTGAAACTAAAGGCACCTTCTGCCATCACGGCCACGGGCATCTTCCCAGCCGGCCCCGCCGCAACACCTTCCCGGTAGTCAGACCCCAGACTGTCCCTCGGGGGCGTCGCGCCCCAGATGACGTAAGCCGCCGCCGCGTGTGCCTCCGCGCAGGCGCAAAGTCGGTTCCGGCGCGTGGTGGGACGTCGCCGCGGCCGGCTAGGGGGCGGGGCGCTGCGCCGCTATGACCCGCGCTCGCGGGGCCCTGGAGGCCTGGCTTGGCCTCGGGGGAAGTTGCTGTGCCGGGTGCGCGCGTCCGAACCCTGGAAGAAAGGGCGTCAGGGCAAATTTGAGGGCTCTTCGATGTCGCTCCTCTTTGGGGAAAATTTAAAGGTCTAAAGCGAAGCATTGCTTCTGCCTCCAAACCTGCTCCTTCAGTCCTGCCCGTGTCTGGAAACCGCACGGGGTCCTTCCACGTGGGCGACCCCTTCCGAGGGCAGCCGCCGGCGCCCCCGGACCTGCGCGACTGCCTCGCCGAGGCAGCTCCCCGCACGCCACAGCTCCCTGTCTATCGGATCGTGTTTCCCGCCTGCTCTAAACTCTAAAATCCAACGTCCTTGCCCTCGCGGACCCTCACACGCGGGGTCTAATTCCCACCCGTCTCCTACTCGCTCCTGGCTCCCGCAGTTTCGTGCGCAGTCCTCATCGCGGGCCGACCGCTTACTGGGTATTATTACCTGTTTACAGGCCGGCGTGGGCGCTCCCACCCGACCACCAGGAGTGAGGCTTAGATTCGTTCGCTGCTGCAGTTGCCTACATGCTTGGCGGGCGCAGAGCCAGTAGAAAAGGCAAGACCCCTGATTCGAAAGCCTAGGGGAGGGGAGGGGCCGTTAAACGTAACAGATCTCTCTTATTTGCAGCGTCTCTCAACTTTTCATGGCGTATTTTATTTGCTATTTACAGTACTCTAAAGAAAGGAAAGTTAAAAATTTAAATTATCACTGCATTTTATCACCCATTTTTATATTGCACAATGCCGGTTTCAAACACAAATACAGGTGCATGTTAACGCACATGCGCGATCACAGAAATCACACCATTTGCATTAAATACCTAATTCGTGTACGTGTTTTGTTCTTATTAGAACCATAAAAATGCTGCAAAAAAACTAACCTTTTTAAAGATTTTATTTATTTATTTTTAGAGAGAGAAGGGAAGGGGGGGAGAGAGAGAGAGAGAGAGAGAGAGGGAGAGAGAAGCATCAATGTTCAGTTGCTGGGGGCCGTGGCCTACAACCCAGGCATGTGCCCTGACTGGGAATCGAACCTGCAATGCCTGGTTTGCAGCCCACGCTCAATCCACTGAGCTACACCAGCCAGGGCAAAAAACTAACTTCATGCACTTCTTTTCACGCACCTGCCGTAGCAGCACTTCCCACCTTAGGCTTCCTGATGAGCAAGGAAGAATAAAGGAAAGGAACCGCCCCTCCCCTGCTGTGCTATCTCAGTCAGTTCACCCAGAGGGGCATTTCCACCTGCTCCATGGGAGTGGCCTAACAAAGGCAGAATGTGACAGGCTCCCTTGGTTGGTAGCGTTTTTTAGGATGCCATTGTCTTTGTCACGTGGTTGAAGCAAGGTCAGGTTCCAAGGGAAGACGGGGCCTCTCAGGGCTGTCACTCAACTTAGCAGGGTGCCACGTGCTCACTTTTTGTTCTGATTCGAGCAAGGCACACATGCACGTATTAGGTATTTAATACAAACTGTGTGATTTCTGTGGTTTCGCCTGTGAGTGAAATGCTCTTGTATTTGAGCTTAGAACTATCACTGCACCATATAGAAATGGGTGGTAAAAGTCAGGCCGATAATTTGAAAGTTTTGCTTAAGGAACAGTTTCCATGTGGAAATTATTGTAGCTAGCCATCTTGGATGGAATGTAAAAATTTAAGAAATCACTACCATAGCCCCTCAGAGCATTGACAATAAAATATAGGAAGGTGCCCGAAGAGCTGGAATAACGAGAATAAAGCGACAGGGTTTCATCAATCACACAGAGACGAAGATGGAGGACAAAGTGATCCTGAGACCATCTGGCATCAGTCGGAGGGGCAGGAGGTGGCATTTTTAACATGTAACGATGGCCCCCAGCCCAGGCTGGGTGACGGAGGGCCCAGCGGGCTCCATCGCCCAGAAACGGGATCATCTAGAGAGAAAAGTGGCCACTGTTCAGGCTCTGGCGTGGGGGCTTGGGCTGCTGAAAGGGGAAGGCTGCTGGTTAGACCGTCCTTGGCCGAACAGAAAACCCACAGGCAGCTTTGGGAAAACAAGCACAGGTCAGAGTTAGAGTTTGGGGCTGCCTGTGAGGACCAACTGTTCCTTAACAGACACCGGAGCTCTGGTGTTGGAGGGTGGAGCTAACGAGGGGAAGAAGAGAGTCTTGGGAGAGAAGGGAAGAAGGTTCTTGGGGCAGCAGTCAGGCCTCAGGTGAGACCGTGGCCTGGATTCGGAGAACTAGACGCGACAGTGGGGGGCTGATGGCCGCCCGAGGCAGCTCTGCGGCGGGGAGAAGCTGAGTGCCGGCAGCAGGCTGCGGGCCCCACCGCACTGGAATAGCAGCGGGCCGGCGTGCCGAAGGGAGGTGTGGGCGCCTGAGGCTGCAGGAGGCAGGTCTCCCACTTGTGCCCCTGCCCCTCCCCTCTGAGGTCTTGTTGGGGGCGAACCACCCCGGGGGAGGCTGGGAATCGGAGCGTGGCCAGTTCAGAGACCTGGAATTTCAGCTGCTTCCTAAGAAACCCACTAAAAACTATCAGAACGAAGGACCGGGTTAAGCAAGGTTTCAGGATAGAGGATCAATAGACACAATTATATTCATATACAGTAATAATGAATAAACTGAAATTAAGAAAACAACTTTACAAAAGCATCAAAAGAATAAAATAAAAAGTTTAGCAAATAATTTGCATAATTATATACGATGAAAAACTATGAAACAATTGTTCAAAGAAATTGAAGAAGACTCACATAAATGGAAATACATTCCTTGTTTGTGAATGGGAAGATTTTATGTTATGATGGAAATACTACTCACATTCAGATTTAGTGCAGCTCCTATCAAAATCACAACCGGCTTCTTTGCAGTTATTGACAGACCATAAAATTCCTATACAAATTCAGAGACACGGAATAGACAAAACAATCTTGAAAACAAAGGCTGGTGAAACTCATACTTCGCATCTAAGTCAAAACTTAACTGTACGGCGCAGCGAGCAAGACGGGGTGGCTGTGCAGCTCAGCGGCAGTGACAGTAAACACACAGATCAGTGGAGGATATCAGGAGACCGGAAAAAAATCCTTGCATTTACTGTCAAATAATTTTTTAGTAAAATGCCAGCAGCGCTCCACGGGGGAAGAACAGTCTTTTTAACAGACGGTGTTTCCCACGAGCCAAAGAAGGGAGCTGGACCCCCTCTCTGGCCACATAGCACGATGGACCCAAACGGCATCGCACCCTCCAGGTCGGAGCTGAAACCGTAAAGCCATGGGAGAAAACACAGGGGGCTTTTCCACGACCTGGAATTGGGCGCTGGTTTCTTAGACATGGCACCGAAGGCACAGAGACAACGAAAAACGTCGACAGATGGGACACCGTCAGAATGAGAAACTCCTGTGCTTCAGAGGACGCCAGCAAGACGGCGGGAAGACCACCCTGGAAGGGAGGGAAGTTTGCAGATCACGTCCTGGACGAAAGACTCAGACTGGGAGGAAATAAATGACGCTCACAACTCGAAAGCAGAAAGACAAATAACCCAGTTCAAAAACGGGCAAAGGACTTCATTATTTCTGCAAAGAAGAAGAACATGTGGCCGACGAGGACAGGGAAGGGCGCACAGCAGCGGTGGCCCGTGCCCACGGGGACGTGGAGGGCTGGACCCCTCAGGCACTGCGGTGGGGGGCCCTAGGGGGACAGTCATGTGGGTGCGGCCACCGTGGAGAACAGTCTGGCAGCTCCTCCAAGTTTAAAGGGAGAGGTGTCCCATGACTCAGAAATTCTACACTTAGGAGTGTATCCAAGAGAAATGAAAATATGTTGAAAAACAAAATCTTGTACACAGATGTTCATAACAGCATTATCTATCATAGCCCCAGCATGAAAATAACCCCGATGTCTGGCAACTGACAAACACAATAAAATATGGCCCGTTCGTGCAGTGGAATATTATTGGGCAATTTGGCAAAGGAAACGAATGAAATACACGTGCTGCCACATGGCTGGATCCTGAAAACATTGTTAAGTGAAATAAACCAGTTGCGAGTGACGAAATGGTGTGGGATTCCATTGATTCGAAATGTCCACAATATGCAAGTCCGTGGAGACAGACAGTGATTGGCAGGAGGCAGCAGAGCGTGGGGGGACGGAAGGGCCACGAAGGGGCTGGGCGTGGGTGAGGCCTCTGGGCAACCTGGGTCTGGGTCCGAGCTGCAAGGACGGAGGGGCCAGCCCTGGGCCAGCCCCCCTCAGTGGCAAGGACGCGGGCTTCCGGCTCGGGGTGGAGAGTCACCCCAGAGCAGGGGCAGCTGCCTCTGTCACGCGTGACCGGGCAGGGAAGGAAAGGGACGCGCTGTTCATTCCCCTGGCAGCACACTCTCAGCAGACAGGGCAGCGGACTGAGCCATGCACGAGCCGGGGTCCGGGGAGAGGACGGGGCGGGGGGGTGCCACACACCACCGGGCCGGGCACTGGGAAGGGGCTTGGTGTCTTGGACTGGGACGTCTCCAATGGAGCTTTGCCGAAGTCACTCCGTGGGGGGGGCGGAGCGGGGGAGGTGGCGACGTTGGAAAGTACACGGAGCGGCGACACAGTCTGAGCCGCCAGCGTGGAGTTCCACCCGGGCAGTTATCCCGAGAAGGCCGTTGGGCGCGAGGGCGTAAACCCAGGGCCTGAGGGGGCGCAGCGACGTCTGCGCAGCCGCGGGAGCCCCTAAACAGGCCCCAGTGTCTGAGCGCAGAGAGGTGCCCGTGTCATTGCCGGGCAAGGGGATGCTGCGAGGCCACTGAGCCCGTGGACATGAAGTCTGTGTTCCGGAAGTAGCCTTCCGGAAACAACGTTAATAAAAAAAAAACCAGACAATAATATTGCACATATCTCT